GAATATTTGACAACTACAATCAACCCCCCCCCCCCCCCCCCCCCCCCGTCACTGCGTTCCCAGCACACGCCCGGCACCCCAGCCCCCTCTGTCTCAGGTAAGCTTGGCCCCCCTGCCCCGAACATAGCTGGTCGGCTGGCAGCGTCTGAGCCGGACCCCAGTACCCATCCACAGTGGTCATTAATAATTCACTGGGACAAAATTAACTTCTTCTACTCCCAAATTATTATTTTACATATTTCGCATTATGCTACAAATCAAATCCATCTATCCATTCATCCATGTTCCAGCCACTCAAATCCAGAGGGACGTTTCAAATCCACGCGTAATCGATATCGGTACATCTTTTTTTTTTATGATTTTTTAAGGACTAGGGTTGCCTGTGGCTGTTCTTGAAACATATTCAAATATATTCACTGACACACACACACAGGCTAAACTTGTTTCCTTCTTTTGTTGTTTTAATACTGGTCTAAAAGAAACAGAATTTCTTGTGCTCCTCAGTTTCACACCAACCCCCAACCCAGGCTTGTGTCCACGTGTCGGAGTTTCGCACGAACCAACCGTTTCATAACCGTCACTGGCAGGAGGACCGGAACCACAGGCTGGGTCTACCAGGCCCACAGAACTGACAGTTTGGGGGGGGATCTATGCTCCAGTCTCCCATAGGCCATTTACTTCCTTCAGTTTCCTCTTTGTGTCACACTCCCTTTGTGTATGTTATTACTGATCATGAAGGCACTTGAACAAAAATAGCAAGAACAGTTTAGGAAGAGGGGAAGCCTGCAATTCTGTAACCCCCCCCCACCCACCATCCACACCTCACATGTTGCTGTGATCCACACAGCAGTGCACAGTCCCCCCCCCCAAAAAAAAGAGTAGGATCCCAAATAAAGGATCATGCATGATGACCCCCATCCCCTGCTACAGGGTCTTTGGGGACAGGGTCCTGTCATACGTGTTCCGCCGGTTTGAGTCTGCTCATCTCGTCCACCTCCTCCTCTTCCTCATCCTCCTCCTCTACCATGTGGGTGGAGGTAGACGAGGTAGATTTGGGTCCTGTTGCAGTGGAAACCCACGCTGCGTGTGGAGTGGTAAGCAGGCCGCCGATGGGCCCATTCCCAGAAGTCCTTGGGGCACCGAGCAGGCCATTGCTGTCCTTGGGTTTATCAGATAGAGAAACGGGCCCAGCAGCTGGGCGAGCAACAGAGGGAGAGGGGACTGGCAGGGGATTCTGGGAGCAAGCCACACCGCGGCCTGTCGGGGGAAGGCTCTGAATGAGGGTTGGGTCTGATCCCGGGGTGAATAGGCCCGGCACGCTCCCGCCGCCGGTGCTGCTGGGAAACAGGAAGGTCCTCATCTGGCCCTTGCCCTTGACGTTGACGGTGCCGCGATACTCAAAGTCATATCCCATGCGGCTGAGCACGGCATGGCTGCCCTCGCTGACCTGCACACGGCACTCTACGCCAGTGCTGTCCATGCGGCTGGCGATGTTCACCGTGTCGCCCCAGACGTCGTACAGAAGCTTGGTGGTGCCGATGACGCCGGCCGTCAAGGGGCCGTGGTTGAAACCGATGCGCAGCTTGAACTTGAAGCCCAGCATGTTCTTGTTGAAGTCGTCCACCACGCGCATCATCTCCAGGGCGAAGTCGAAGAGGGCGCGCAGGTGAGCCCGCGGCCCGGCCTGCTCCCGCCGCTGCTGCGCGTTCAGGCCCGCCGCCGCCATGTAGGTGGCGCCGATCGTCTTGATCTTCTCCACGTGAGAGAAGGCTGGCCGGCGCAGCAGCTCGTCGAAGTCGCCGATGAGCTCGTTGAGCACGCGGTAGCACTCCTTGCCGCCCTCGTAGCTCTCCTCGTAGAACTCGCTGAAGTTGACGATGCTGGCGAAGATGACGGCCACGTCATCGTGGTTCTTGGAGTAGCTCTGCGTCACCTTCAGCTGCTCGGCCACGTGCATGGGGATGATGTTCCCCAGAAGCCAGGTCGCCTGGTCGCGCATGTTCTGGATCTTGATGCGGTGCTGGTCCGCCTCCACGTTGCCATGGTAGTGCAGCCGGTATCTCACCTCCAGCTCGCGGTTCAGGAACCACACCAGCAGCAGCAGCAGCAAGAGGGCCAGCACTGTCTCCAGGGCCAGCAGGTCCCCGGAGCCGGTCCTCGGGCCCCAGCCAGCCTCGCTGCTCGTGCTGGTGCCACTGCTGATCCTGGCAAGACAGAGGTGGAATGGACCTACTTCTTGAGGAACTGAAAGATGACCTCATGGTCCAAACCACGGCCCTTATAGGGACCAGCAAGGTCCAGCCCGTGACTGAATATCTTTCTGAATTCCATTATATTAGGCTGACCAAATAATCCATGTCAGGGAGGACACTTTAAGCTACTCCAGGTTTTACAAACTACTTGAAAACTGAAAGGCACCTGTGTTTGGCTAAATAGCTCACTTCTTCTTGTGCTTTGACTGGTTTGATTGAAAAACTCATCCAGCTGTTACACATTAACATTAGTGGCATATGCATGATTATAGGAGATTATAGGAGATCAATCAGCACACAGCAAGAACTCAGTGCTTAACTGAGATCCAGGTCCTTTTAATTGAAATGGTATTTTACAAATCCTGTCCTAGCTCAATGTGTCCTCCCTGACATGGATTATCTGGTCACCCTACATTATATACTGCACCCTGGTTGAATAAATGCTAATTTAAAATACTCCTGGTTACCTGCTCACCTGTATATGAAAGCTGATACACCATGAGGTGCTAACATACAGTACTCTTAGGACGCTAGTTTAATTCAGAAACAATACTGCAAATTTATTGGTTTCATAACATATATGCATTTTGAGAAAAATAATGATTTAACACATTAGGAACAACCAGTAGTTTTAAGTACAACATTAATTTCAAGTACTAATCAATTGAAACCCAAATTATAGTTCTAAAAGAGCTGTTATGAGTTAAAAAGGTCATTAACAAGCAGTCTCATTGGGTGCTTTTTAATTAGTACTCGTAACACCTTTGCAACAACATAAAACACCAAACATTTGTGTTTAGTGTCCCTTTGGGAACCAGTGACTACAACTGCTTTTAACAGCAAAATGGCAAAGAACAGAACTGAATGAGTCGGTCAAAAAAAAAAATTATGACACTTAATAAAAAGAAAATGCCTGAGTGGACTTTTGTTATGAAACCAATAAATTTGTAACATTATTACAGAAGCATCCCAAGACTTTCTGTGAGCACTGTACCACGGTAATGAAGCGTTTTGGTGATATAAGGGCTCACCGCTCTCAGCCAGAACACCACATGTCCCGGACTCCACCCCCGGCCCTCAAAGCCAAACCTACCAGGCACAGTGACGGTGTCTCTCCCACAGCAGTGTCCCTCACCATCACTAATTGCTCTGCTAACCACTGACATTGTGCACTTCAGTCGGCTGGGATCCTGGAACTCTTCCTAACATCATCCCTGTACACTTACATTCACAATTAATTTCTTCCTATGGTCCTTTATCCCATCCCAAGCTGCTTCATGCTGTATGAACAGAGTCTAGTGTTAAAAGTATGTGTAAAATAACATGTGTATATATTTGCAAACTGTCTTGAAGTTGGATTGCACGCCTTATGGCAAACCTACCAAGACAGATTCCTTATATGTTTAACAATAATATCTCTCTGTTTTTTGATTCTGATTTACCGACCAGGTTGAAGTGCGAGAACAGACTCTTCCTAAAGAACCAATCCAATAAGAGATTTAACCTCTTGTGCTTCCTGTTTTTTTCTGCTTGGTTTCTCGAAAGTTCAACTGTTCATCATTTGTGAGGGATGTATTGTGTCAAGAAAAACATCAGTAAGTCCATCACACAGGTCTTGACAAACTAATATCCAATAATACATAAAGAACAGTGTTATATTTGTGGTACTTGCCAAATCGTTGCCACCCTGCCCAATTAAAAACCTAACAATGTTATCAGGGAAAGATTCTTGGAAAAAACAAGACATTAAGGCCATGCGCAGTAACTCACTCGGTCCTGCAGAGGGGGCTGTGGAGCAGCACCAGGAGCACGCCTCCCATGGCTGTGGCCAGGCACGACCGCATCCAGAAGCTGAGCTGGCAGCAGTTGCAGTAGTGCACAATGGCCACGGTTAAGCCGCAACAGAGGAACACGGTGAACTGGCGGACAGAGGGGTGCGTCAAGGTCGCAGTCCAGGGCACGCAATGCCGGCGTTTGGTTCACATAGAAAATGCAATGCAAGGGTTTTCTACATCATTTTCTGGAACAAACAGCTAATTCTCATTCCAGGTCCAAATTCATGGACATATATTGTATTTTGAAACCGGCCCAACTCACGTAAAATGTTTCACATTCTAGCCTTTACACACATACAGCTCTAACC